GTTCTAATAACCCGACCTCCCAGGCCACACCCCGGAGAAAGCATTAACCCCGTTCCTGTCTGACCTGGGTCTTGAAGGTGGTGATGTGTCCTAGTTTCCTCCTTTGTCTCCCTGTCACCTGCCCCCACAATGAGATGCCAGGCCACGCCAAGCTGGCCTCTCTGCCTGCCTGCTGACCACGTCTGAGAACAGACTAACAGAAGGCCGCATTCACTGGGCGGAACCCCAGGGGCCTGGCCCACGAGTGCCATGTTCACAGTTCAGAAAGGGTCAGATGCACAGGGCCACGTTGGAGCCAGCGGGCCCAGCGTTGGAGCAGCTCTCAGTGAAGAGCTGACATCTGTCACTGTCACTAAGAGGGTGCCATCTCTGCCTCCCCCTGCCTCTTGCTCAGTCCAGACTGCAGCCCCCTCTCCCACTTCAAGCCCAGGGACCATGGTCCCATCTCCAGTCCTACTGGATATCAAGGGGTCCCCTGGGCCCCTCCCCCTTCTTCCCGCTCCCTGGAGTCCAGCCTATGGCACCCCTCCCTAGAGGCCCTCCTGTGGCTGCCCACCTGTGGTGGAAACCCAGGTGAACTGGATCTCTGGCTCACAGCACCCATTCGTTCTCTTCCACCCCCACTCCCCCATGCAGGCGTGCACGGTGATGACGCTGGTATGTGTAAGCTACTCAGTCCCTCCACTTGACCAGAATGCTTGCCCCTGGCAGCTCCTGAACACAGGGCAGGCCGTAAGTGAGGAGTTCAATGGGCAACAGCTGCCTGTGGACCTGTTCACGGGCCGAGCATTGGCATCAGGCACTGTGGCTGCTGGGTGAGCTTGGATGCTCTGGAAAGACCTCTGGGACGTGGCTGCTCTGGGAGAGGAGCTAGATGGTGTGGGGCTGGATGAGATGGGCGGGAGGGTGGGGGGAGTGGGGGGCTCCTATTCTTTCTCTCCTTTGAGTTTTGTGCACAGGTAAGTCTGAGGAGCATTGTTGGCCCGTCTGTGGTGGCTTTCTGGGATGATGAGTGAGCCTGTCCACTGGTCAGCTATCCACTCTGTTCCACCCCATAGCGACCCGAGTGCAGCAGAACACCGTCCGGTCCTGCCCGTCCCCACACTGGTCAGTGTTTGAGCCCTAGCTGAAGTCAGTGTGCCCATCCCTCCCATCTCAGACCAGTCTCTCTCTCGCTTGGTGGTGGGACATGATTATGACCGTCAGACACCACTCACCACGGGCAGATGGAGTGTGTCCCCTCAGGCTGCCGAGAGTCCTGGCCCAGCCCCAGGGCTGCGATCTCTCTGGTGGGGAGAGTGGCCTTTGTTGCCTCGATGAGCCAGGCAGGACTCACTCCTGTGCGGCAAGGGTGTGCTTTGAGTCAATCTTCTTTGAGACATCAAAGATCCAAAGTGAGGAGGAAGCGAGGGGGCAGGCACCTGTGGGCGATGGCCCAGGAACAAGGAATAAGACCTTCCCCGGAGCCTGCACACAGAAAGCCTTCCCCCAGGGTTCACCGCTGGACCAGTAGGTGCCATCCTGGTAAGTGGAGGAAAGAGGGGCTTCACCAAGGCTCTGACCTCGCTCGAATCCACAATCAATGCTCATGGAAGCAGCAGTCCAAAGATCAAAGGACCGATTGAATTGGGTACATTTGCTGCACAAGGACTCTTCCAAGTGTCGAGAAGCAGAGATGTAACTTGGGGTCTAAAAGACGCCCGATCTGGGTCACAGTGTTTCCAGTGGCTTTATAAGCACGTGACAATTGGACACTGACTAAGGGAGACTGGAGGAGAATCAATGAATCTGATTGTTGACCAAGAATCTTGAAAACCCCACGGCTGCCAAAGGAACAAACTAATCTGCCTTCGAAGAAGTACAGTCAGAATGCTCCTTGGAGGCCAGGAGAGTGAGACTTGGTCACACACAGTACTTGAGACACGCTGTCAGGAGGAGAGACCAGTCCCTGGAGAAGGACAGACCTGGTGCCTGGTAAGGTAGGGGCCAGAGAAAAATAGCAAGGCCCTCCAGAGGGAGGGCAGGCACCGCGGCTGCAGCAATGGGCACCAGTGTAGGAACAGGTGTGAGGGTGACGTCAGTCGGCGGGGTTCATGCGGCGTACTGGGTCGGTCTCTGGGATCTGGAGCTGATTAGATGGCAATTTAACAAGCCTCCCGGGAGCACATAGACGTCTGCCTCTTAAAGACCCCACGTGTGGTTCTTCTGTCACTGCAGTGCCGTCAGCTCAACCGCCACAGAATCGTCCACTTCTGATTGGTTAATGAGGAGCGCTGGTGGCGCAGTGGGTCAAGCGTCAGGCTGCTAACTGCAAGGTCAGCGGTTCCAAACCACCAGCCCTTTAGCGGGAGACCGCTCCTGCAAAGAGTGCCAGTCTCGGAAAGCCACCCCGGCAGTCACTTTGAGTCGCCCGCAACTCAGGGGCGGTGAGTAGTGAGTGAAATGGTTAATCATACGTCCTGTGCATCTCCCCTAAATCGGTGTGAAATGAGATGAAACAAAACGTGTATGAATTACGGAATGGGCTCTCAAACCCCGGCCCCAGTGCCCCGGCCCCCACAATCCAGGACAAATGCGGGTTTGCCGCTTTGCTGATTCCTTCCAGCACCCCGAGAGACGGCATCACCCACTTTGTGAACACCCTGCTTTAGACCTTCACCAGTTCTCCATGAAGTCTGGAGGGAAAAGTCAGCTGAGCCACTGGGCTAGAAAGTGGCTCCCAGCCCCTGGGGAGGTGGGGGAGGGCGAAGAGGGGGGCTGTGGAGTCAAGGCCCGGATTTTCTGCCTGCATGGACTGGACTGCAGGCGCCTCCTCCCGAGGGTCTGGGGCTGTGCTTCCAGGGAGTGGTGGGGTCACAGGTCAGGGCTCCCCTGGGCACCCCCTTCTCCCTGCTGCCCTGGGGGCGGGCCCTCAGGGAGGAAGGCAGACAGAACTCCCCTTCAAAAATAAACATGTCGCAGGGCGAGACTCTTTGGTTTCCTTTTTCTTTTTTTTTCATTATTTAAAAAATATATTTTACAAAACAATGTCATTCATCATATATTTCTTGCTTATTTTCCTTTTTAAAAATTACAGTAAAAATTACAGTAATAAAAAAAGTCACTTTATAAAATCATACAAGGAGGCAAGGAGAGAGGCTAGGGCAGCTGCGAGGGGCCTCTGGGCTGAGGAATCCAGTGCTTCCGGCCCCCCTCGGTGGGCTAGAGGCTGGGGGAGGCAGTCGGTCAGCAGGGAGGGCTGCCTGGAGGCAGCGCGGGGCAGGGCAGGAGCGGGGGGGCCGCGGCTGGGCCCTTAGCTCCCGCTGCTCAGCATGCCCAGCAGCTTGCTGGGCTCCAGACCCTGCTGCTGGGCCACGCTCTGCACGTCGAAGCCCATGTGCATGAGGAACTGCGGCACGGTCATCTCCTGGCCGGTCAGCTGGTCCCGGATGGTGGGGCACGACGGGTTGCAGTGGGGCCAAGGGCAGCTGTCCACCAGGTGGAAGGGGCAGCCCTTCAGGGGTGCTCGACTGGCCTTATGGCTGTCCTGGAAGCTCCGGTCCCAGCAGTGCAGCGCGCGGGGCAGCGAGATGCCCTTCACCTGGACATCTGTCCAGTGGCTGTAGGCGGGAGAGCCAGGTTCAAGGGACAGCCAGCTGAGGCGCACAGCACTGGAGGCAGGTGGAGGGGGCCTACAGGCAGGTGGGGGTGGGGGCAGGGTGAGGTGTTAAGGACACATTATGGGAAGGGTCCCAGACCTGCGGAGGATGATCTCGTGAGAGAGGCAGGCAGGAGCAAAGCTGGCCCTGGGGAGAGAAGCCTTGTGTGAGTGCCACGCCTCCAGCCGGTCCCCGACCCCCACCACCACCACCCCCCACCCCACTGGGGTCCAGGCAGGCGAGTGGGGCTCAATGCCTGCCCCTCAGGAGGAACGTCATCTGGACCCCAATGGGTTTGAGGACCTGGGCCCCCTCGCTAGCACACTGAGGCGTGCACTGGGGGCCCAGCACTCACGTCACATCCTTGAGGGTGTCCCGCAGCTGGCGGCCCAGGTTCTGGATGTACAGCCACTGACCCTCCTGCACCGGCTGCCCAGTGAGGTGCACGTTGTCTACTGTGAGCTGAGCCTCGTCAAATAGCCACTGAACGATGAACACCGGGCCTGCAGGGGCAGCACTCAGCTAGCTCCGCCAATGGGGTGCTGCCCCCTAAAGCCCTAAAGCCTGCCCCTGGCCAGTGCCTTTTCCACCCCTGGGGGGACCCCCGCCTCTTCTCCCAGCCTTGACCCAGCTGTGACCAAAGATGGTGATGACGTCCATTTCCGGAGTCTTGAACCCTGGGCAGTTACCATGTTGGCTCTCTCAACTCCCTGGACTTTGTGGCCAGGGAGGGCCATGCGGAGGCCTGGGACAGAACCACCTGATGCTTAAGATTCGGGGACAGACCCACCTGCTCTAAAGTCCTCCTGACCAAAGGTGCCTAGCAGGCCTGGTCCCTGGGGACCAAGGGGTCTCCCATGTGGCTCAAGCTGAAAACGTCCTGGCGCCCCTTCCTGGTATGGGGCCCAGCTGCCTCCAGTCCAGGTCCAAGCAGTGACCTCTAAGCTTGGCTTCTGGGTGTTCAGGGAGGCACAGGGAGCAGAGTGGGGACACCTGCTGCTGCTCCGTGCCTTCCCCGACCCCAAGTTACAGTGTAAGGTGGGTGGATGCTCTTCTGGTCTGGGTCACCCCTACTCTGGCCTATAGCCTTACTCAATGTTCAGGGGCAAGTAGAACTGCTGCCCTGACTCCCCAGGCCCCCGGGGCCACACTCACAGCATCTACCCCTTTCCTAATTCCCCCCAGACCCACTTGCCAGCCCCCTACCCGTGTCCTGAGAGCCCCTCCCACCAGCCCCCAACCACAGTCTTGACGCAGTATGGGGTCAACCCAGCCCCGGCCGGCCGCACTCACTGCGCAGTGTGGGGTAAACCTTGTATCCGAAGAAGCAGTGCCACTCCTCGCCCTCCTTGAACTGGTGCCCGCAGCGCTCAGGGACCATACCCTTCCAGTACCTGGGGCCACACTCAGGTGTCAGACTGTGCTGGCCCTCAGCACTCCGGGCTCTGCACAGCAGCACACACCCCTGGTAGGGTCCCCGGGGATCCCTCAGCCCCACGGGTGGGGTGGGCACCTGAAGCCTCGGCGGATGGCCTCGGTGGGTGCGCAGGTGATGGTGTCCACACAGTCGGTGTGCCTGTACTGCTTGTTGTCTAGGAACCAGCCCGAGTCGGCCAGACCGCGCACCTGGATGGCCGAGTACCCCAGCTCCTCCAGCTGCTCGGCCACGCGATCCACGTTCAGCAGCACGCCCGTGGCCCCGGCACTGTGCGGGAAGCCCAGGTAAGGCCAAGAGTGCATTCCGAGGCGAGCCCCCTTGCCCCCAGGCCAAGTCCCCACTGGGGCAGGGATCTGTTCCGGGCCCTCCAGGGTCTCTGCAAACCCGTGGGGACGGGCAGAAAGGGGCTCTATCCATCTTCCTTCCCCGCTGTTCCTTCCCTGCTTCAGTTTCCTTCTCTGAGTGTGAACTAAGTGGCTTCAGGCCACTTCGTCCACTCCCAGACAACTCCCGGTGCCTGGAGTAGGTGGAGGGTGGTGCTGGCTAGTGCGGTCCTGGTCTTACCAGGCTCCCAGGCTCAGGAGAAAGCAGCTCCGTCCATCCACAGTTCATCACTGACTGCCCCTCTCCCCCACCAAGGGGTGGGCAGTCCATGTGTCCCCATCCGGCCCCTCTGGAAGTCAGCTCAGCTACCCTGCTCCCCGCCTCCCGCAGCCACCTCCCCACTTCCTACCCAGGTTTGGCAAGCCAGGAAGCCCCCCCCACCCCCTGCCCCGCCCCCTCACAGCCCCAGGCCCTGGCCTGCTCTCCCCACCCCCACCCCCCCACCAAAGTCCCAGGCCCACCTGCTCCCAGCCAGCAGCAGCACCCGAGCACTGCTCAGACCTTTGCCCACCAGCTCTCGCACCACCTCCCGGACGATGAGAGCACCCATAAAGGCGTACTCATCTGCAGAGAAAGCGGGGCTAGTGGGCACGGGCGGACAGAGAGCAGGGCCTCCCAACCCAGGATGCTGTGAGGAGCAGGCCTGGCTCCAGCTGGGGCCCAAGCAGACTAAAGGGAGGTTGGCAGGTGCATGAGTTCACACGGGGGTGGGGGCTCTCCCCAGGGTACACCCCGGAGGAAGGAGGTCTGCAGGGTGAGGTGAGCAGATGTCCTGCTCTTTGCCCCACCTCCATAACTTTGAGCAAGTTATGGAGGAAGGGACAGGAAGCCCTCCTGCCATGTCTTTCCTGAAGCCAAGGTGAGGGGGAAAAGGGACGCGAGGGCAGGACTGACTCACTCTTATCAGACTTGGAGGACGCCCCGCTCCACACGTCACTGGAGCAGTAGGGAATGAAGCTGCCACAGACAGAAAGGAGCCCAGATCCTCCTCCGTCCGGTCGCCCCTCTCGAAGGACCGTCCCCTGAGGAAGGGCCACCCCCCTCAGGGTACCACCCCCAGGAAAGGCCACCTCCAGGTAGGTCTGGACCCCCAAGGTCCTGCTCCCCGGGGAAGGATCACATACCAGGTAGGAAAACCTCCAATTAAGCCAACCCTCTGGAGGACTGATGCCCAGAAAGGCCGCCCTCCAGAAAGGACCCTCCCCAGCGGGACCCCCACTCAGGAGCTCCTCACCCCCTCTTACACCATGTTTGCATTCCACCAGTGCGGATTCTCCTCTGGCTGGGAAGACAGGATCCCTGTGCCTGGGGGAGGCCCGATGGGGGAGGGGTGTGCAGAGTGAGGACCTTGGCCTGGGCCCAGCAGAGGGTGGACCCTGGTGCCAGCATGAACCAGGTGGCCCGAAGGTGGGAGATTGGGGTACAGACAGGTCTAGTCACTGGTGGGCACACCTGAGTTGGCATCGGTGACCCCCACTGGCTGCACTGTCCTGGGGATGGCTCCCCAGGTGAGTAGGGCAAACCCAGGAAGTTCTGAGAAGGGACAAGGCTTGCAGGGACGCTCAGGGCTCTTAAATTGGGGGGCTACTATGAGCGCTCCTTAAGGTGGTCCCAGGCCGCTGCTGCCGGCTTCCAACCCTGAGGACCCTCCCAGGCGGTGGCGCGGGGCATCTGCGCCCACTGCGCCCCGCTCACCTGGGTGCCCGGCCCACCTGTGCGAGTGTGCGGCCAATCCTTGGAACTCATGAGGCGCCGCATGGTGTCGTAGCGGGAGTCGCAGTTCTCGCGGTTGAAGCAGTACCAGCCGCCTGCGGGCAGAACCTCCCGCTCAGAGGCCGTCCCTGAGGACCCGGGCCAGGCCCCGCGCGCACCGACCCCGCGCCCGGACCCACCTTCCAGGAAGAGCAGCCACCGGCGACTCCCCTTGGACTCCTTCAGGTAATAGCTGCGAAGGAGAGCGAGGCGCGCGGTCAGGTCGGACGGCGGCAGGGTTGGGGTCGCCGCGGCCACACGAGGGCGACCGCGGCCGGCCGGAGGAGGTGGCGCGGCCATACGCGGTCCGGGAGGTGGCGCGCGCGGGGCGGGGACGGGCAGCGAGGGGCTGCGGTCGGTGGGAAACCCCCGAGCTCGTCGGGGGCGGGACCCGCCAGAACCAAGCGCGCGGGCGGCCTGGGGGGCGCTCAGGACACCTCGCTGGCGGCGTGGGGGACATTTGACGCGCCCCGCAGGCGCACAAGGGGCATCTCAGCCCTGCGTCGACGTCTACCTAATGGCTGGCTCCGTGGGCCTGGACGCCCCGGCCTCACCCACCTCTCTGTCTCGCATGCTCCCCCAGAATCTACCTAGGGGCTGGGGGCGGGGAGGGGGTGGGCTTGTGCACCCTGGCTCCTCCCGCCATACTGAGTACCCCTCCCTGTCCTGACCTTGCAGATGGGATCCCTGGTGGTCCTGGGCAGTCCCAGGTCAGGGGGGACAGCACAGCTTCCCCGCCCCTCTGTGGACACCGGTATTTCCCCGCCCCAGGTCCGCAGGTCACGCGCAGCCCGCGCAGAAGGGCTGGCACGGTGGCCGAGGGGTCAGTGTGCGAGGGCGACCAACGCTGGAGTCAGCTAGATGCACTCCCAGGGCCAGCACCGCGGGCCGCTGGAGGGAGCCCTCTGGGAGGCTGGGCACGGCGGTTGCCCGCCGCAAGGGTCCGGCGGGCGGGATCTTACCCCGCAGGTGTGCCGTCGTTGCAGGTCACCGACGTGTTGCGCAGGAGATGCAGGCGCAGTTCCTCGTTGAGCCGCTGAGCCGAGCAGGGGTATAGCGACTGCGCCAAGCTCTTGACCTGCGCCATGAAGCTGTCCGTGTTGCCCTCCACGGCCGTGAAGTCCAGCGGGAAGCTCTCCACCGGCTGCCCGGCCCCCGGCGCCGACTCAGCCCGTGGCGGGGTCGGTTGCTGTCC